GGGAATGATTGCACCAACTGCTGTCACCTTCTCACCAAGCTGCTTGGCCATAGTTTGGTAGCCCAGTCCAGCCTTGTGTAAGTCTACAATCTTGTCCCTGACATCCTTGGACAGCTCTTTGGTCTTTGCCATGGTGGAGAGTTTAGAATCTGATGGTTTGATTGCTCCTGTGGACAGGTGTCTTTTATACAGGTAACAATATGAGATTAGCAGCACTCCCTTTAAGAGACTGCTTCTAATCTCAGCTTGTTACTTGTATGAAAGACACCTGGTAGCCAGAAATCCTGCTGAATGATAGGGGATCAAATCCTTATTTCCCTCATGAACATGCAAATTAGTGCATAATTTGTTAGACATGCATTTCTGCTTGAATTTGTTGTTGCTATTCTGTCTCTCAGTGTTACAATACACCGAAAATTCTATTTTTAGACCGATCATATCTTTGTGAGTGGGCGACCATTCAACATCAGCAGGGGAGCAAATACACATTTCCTTCACTGTATCTAGGGGACGTCCTAACGTTCGCACATCTCCAGCACTTTCTGAGGAACCGATCTGTGGTCATACATGTTGTTGGGTTCCTCATGGGAAGAATCCGGACGGTACACTCAGGGGAGCTGCCCAGGAGACATTGAATACTCAGAAACGATCGTTTTATCAGCTTTATCTAAAATCAAATAAAATGAAAAGGTATAAATATCATCCGCAGCATAGAAAGTCCTCGGGGTCAGGGTTAGGTCAAGTCAGTTCCGGGGGGTTTAATATTTAGGACATTCCCCCCGGGGTCCTAGTCAGAAGAGCCTGTCTTTCGGAACAGGCAGTCCCTTGGCAAGTTTAGGACAGTCCTTCCAAGGTCACAGTCAGTAGAGCCTGTTTCTCTGTGCCGCAGACAGAACAGGCAGTCCCTTGGGGCCACATTTAGGACAGTGCCCCTGGGTCCCATTCAGATGAGCCTGTCCCTAGGGGCCCACAGCCAGAACATGCAGTCTATTGGAGCCACATTTAGGACAGTCCTCCATGGTCCCAGTCAGAAGAGCCTGTCCCTCGTGGCCACAGCTAGAACAGGCAGTTCCTTGGGGCCACATGTAGAACAGTTCTCCAGGGTCCCAGTCAGAACAGCCTGTCCCTCGTGGCCACAGCTAAAACAGGCAGTCCCTTGGGGCCACATTTAGGACAGTGCCCCTGGGTCCCAGTTAGAAGAGCCTGTCCCTAGGGGGCCACAGCCAGAACATGCAGTCTATTGGGGCCACATTTAGGACAGTCCTCCATGTTCCCAGTCAGAAGAGCCTGTCCCTCGTGGCCACAACTAGAACAGGCAGTCCCTTGGGGCCACATGTATGACAGTCCTCCAGGGTTCCAGTCAGAAGAGCCTGTGCCTCGTGGCCACAGCCAGAACATGCAGTCTATTGAGGCCTCATTTAGGACAGTCCTCCATGGTCCCAGTCAGAAGAACCTGTCCCTCGTGGCCACAGCTAGAACAGGCATTCCCTTGGGGCCTCATTTAGGACAGTCCTCCATGGTCCCAGTCAGAAGAGTCTGTCCCTCATGGCCACAGCTAGAACAGGCAGTCCTTTGGGGCCATGCTTAAGACAGTCCTCCAGGGTCCCAGTCAGAAAAGTCTGTCCCTCGTGGCCACAGCTAGAACAGGCAGTCCCTTGGGGCCACATGTCGGACAGTCCTCCATGGTCCCAGTCAGAAGAGCATGTCCCTCGTGGCCACAGCTAGAACAGGCAGTCCCTTGGGGCCACATATAGGACAGTCCTCCAGTGTTCCAGTCAGAAGAGTCTGTCCCTCATGGCCACAGCTAGAACAGGCAGTCCTTTGGGGCCATGCTTAAGACAGTCCTCCAGGGTCCCAGTCAGAAGAGCCCCTCCCTCGTGGCCACAACTAGAACAGGCAGACCTTTGGGGCCACGCTTAGGACAGTCCTCCAGGGTCAGGATCTGAATTTCAGCCCCATGTGGATCCTCTGGTGGGCCCTCAGCACTGACTTGGTGGTGAAGCTCTTGCTGCAGTCAGGGCAGCCGAACGGTTTCTCTCCGGTGTGGACCTTGTAGTGGGAGATCAGGTTGGACTTCCTGTTAAAGCAGCGGCCACACTCGGCACAGCTGAACGGTTTTTCCCCCGAGTGGATCTTCTGGTGTTCATTCAGCGCCGACCTGACGATAAAGCAGCGGCCGCAGTCAGCGCACACGAAGCGTTTGTCGCTGTGCAGCTTGGTCTGGTGGCGCAGCAGCTGGGACTTGGCCATGTAACTCTCGCCACACTCGGAGCAGGAGAAGGGCCGCTCCCCTGTGTGGTTCCTCCGGTGTATGACCAGGTAGCCGCGGCTGGAGAAACCTTTGCCGCACTCTGCGCAGATGAAAGGCTTCTTCCGGATGTGCGATCTTTGGTGGACAAAAAGATTTGATCTGGTGGATAGAGTCTTCCCGCATTCGAAGCAAGGCCACCGCTTCCGCAGGTTGTTACCGGAGGCCGATTCCATCTTGATATGAGCCGATATGTATTGTCCGTGGTGGGTGTAAAGACCGCTATTCAGAAAGTCCTCTTCATCCCAAGACATGGGCTCCCCTTTAATAGAGGAATGTCGGGAACAATCCAGGGGGACCAAAATGTCCGACTCTGGGATATGTTCCTCTTCATCTGAGAGCGGCTCCGCCTTAATATGGGGGGTTGGACAAAGTCTCCTGTCTGAAGATGCCAGATTGTCCATGTCCAAGTCTTTACACAGGCTGGGTTCTGCCTTCACATGGCTAGGCATGACCGATGTGTCATCTGTAGGTATCAAGGTGCTCATACGTGGGGGACCTGGTTCTTGGCTTGGGGGCAGCTCTGACTTAACCTGACCGGATGGGGTCAGTTTGTGAACGGTCGGGGGTGAGACGTCTTCCTGTGAGAGACTTTCTTCTTCACAGGAACCGGAATCCTCCATGATGATCCGACACGTATACTGTGCGCAGTCTCGGGATGCATCGTTTTCCGTGTCTGTGAAGATCCCTTCTTCACTGGAAATAGAGTCCTCATGATTGTGAGCATCCGGGAGATCCTTGTCTTCCCTCCATGCCAATTCCTCCTCCATGTTTTTGTCCAGTGCAGATGCATCTATCGGTAGAAACAAAATTATATAAGATTGGGTTTACGGGGTCATCGCCAGAAAAACAGAACCCTTTCATGACCCCCTCAGCATGGCCCAGTTGGTGGACACCTGACCATCACACTTCCAAGACCTTAAACAACATCCCAATCTAGAACCATGGCTATTGTTATGGAGCTGTCCCAGCCCAATGAGAAGGTGCCTCCACCATGGTCATTACTATGGAATTACCTCCATCCCCTATGGCCATCATGAAATTGGCCCCTTTTGTGGGTATACCATCCTCCACTCCTCTCCACACAATTTTGGAGGATGTCTGTGGGAATTTGTGCCCATATATGAGGTCAGGTACCGATGCTGGATGAGAAGACCTGACTCACATGTTGGGCTTCACATTGGGCCCTAAAAAAAGACCTGGCACACATATGGCATTCCCATTCATTCCAAAGGTGTTCAGTAGGTTGGGATCAGGGTTCTGTGAAGGACACTAAAGTTTCTCCACCCTAAACAGGTCATCTATGTCTTTATGGAGCTGGCTTTTTAAACAGGGGGCAGTCATGCTGGAAAAGAAAAGCATCTTCACCAAACTGTTACAACAAGGTTACGAAATATTGACACCTATCCAACGTATAATCACATCTATATGAGCTTGCGGGACATCCCATCCCAAAATGGCTACTGACTGGGAGTTGCCCCCCTTGCGGCTAGAACATTCCCCACTCTTCTGGGAAAACTATCCCCAAGAGGTTGGAGGGGGTCTGTGGGAATTTGTGCCTATATATGAGGTCAGGTACAGATGTTGGATGAGAAGACCTGGATCACCATTGGCATTCCAATTCCAAACTGGTCATCCATGTCCTATGGAGTTGGCTTTCTACACAGGGGACAGTCATGGGGGAACAGAAAAGGGTCTTCACCAAACTGGTCATCCATGTCTTTATGGAGCTGGCTTTGTACACGGGGACAGTCATGGGGGAATAGAAAAGGGTCTTCACCAAACTGGTCATCCATGTCTTTATGGAGCTGGCTTTGTACACAGGGGACAGTCATGGGGGAACAGAAAAGGGTCTTCACCAAACTGGTCATCCATGTCTTTATGGAGCTGGCTTTGTACACGGGGCAGTCATGGGGAGACAGAAAAGGGTCTTCACCAAACTAGTCATCCATGTCTTTATGGAGCTGGCTTTGTACACGGGGGACAGTCATGAGGGAGACAGAAAAGGGTCTTCACCAAACTGTTACCACAAGGCTGGAAGAGCATGATTTGTCTCCAATGTCTTTGTATGGTGGAGGATTACCAAGACCCTTCACTGGACACACCTAAACTCTACATACTTTGGGCCAAAGAGAGTATTTAGGGTGAACACAGCCTGGTTGAAGTCTCGGGAAATGAAGGTTGGAAATATATAGTCATCACTAACCACGCAGAAGCCCGGATCAGAACTCAACACTAGGAGGAGGAAATGAAACCTTTTGAAATTTGCCAATTTTCCATGAAGTTGGAAGAACGGGAATCTCTAAAGGTCTTCATGGACCAATCAGGAGATGCCTAAGAAGGGGGCTTTGGGGGTCATGATTGGCTATTTATCCCCAGTCATAATGGTTACTTTCCATTCATTCAATCCCAAAGGATCAGTTCCATTAAACCTATCTGGTTGGTGCATTCACCATTTGGCGGTCACTAGGACTGAGATGTCCATGGAAGATAAAAAACTGGAACCTTCTTATATGAAAAACATTCTTCACAATCAACATAAATATTTTTTCCAGCAATACGAGGGGAAATCCCCCATCTTCCACTCTTCACCCACCACACGTGCTGAACCCCATAATACACCCTCACAATAATCACCAAATGTCTTACCTGGATCCGGGAGGGTGTGGTGGTCCTCCATCATGACGTCCTTGTAGAGATCCTTGTGTCCTTCTAAATACTCCCACTCCTCCATGGAGAAATAGACAGTGACACCCTGACACCTTATAGGAACCTGACACACACAATGATACAGTCACTATCCAGACACATCCCTTGTCTGTTACTGGAGAATGTCCCAGAATTCCCAGCACTGCTCACCTCTCCTGTCAGCAGCTTGATGATATTATTGGTCAGTTCCAGGATCTTCTGGTCACTGTCCCCCTTAGGTTTCAGGGACTGAGGTGGAGGAACCATGATGGTGAGATGATCACCTGACTTCACAGGAGGAAAACTCTGTAATAAAATAATAACAATATCATGTGACCTTCCTCCTCACCTCTCCGGTCAGGTCTGTGTGATGTCATGTGACCTCCCAGAATCCTCCTCACCTCTCCGGTCAGGTCTGTTTTATTAATAGAGATGAGTGATGTCATGTGACCTCCCAGAACCCTCCTCACCTCTCCGGTCAGGTCTGTGTGATGTCATGTGACCTCCCAGAATCCTCCTCACCTCTCCGGTCAGGTCTGTGTGATGTCATGTGACCTCCCAGAATCCTCCTCACCTCTCCGGTCAGGTCTGTGTGATGTCATGTGACCTCCCAGAATCCTCCTCACCTCTCCAGTCAGGTCTGTGTTTTATTAATAGAGATGAGTAATGTCATGTGACCTCCCAGAATCCTCCTCACCTCTCCGGTCAGGTCTGAGTGATGTCATGTGACCTCCCAGAATCCTCCTCACCTCTCCGGTAAGGTCTGTGTGATGTCATGTGACCTCCCAGAATCCTCCTCACCTCTCTGGTCAGGTCTGTGTTTTATTAATAGAGATAGAAGTGATGTCATGTGACCTCCTAGAATCCTCCTCACCTCTCCGGTCAGCAGGTAGATGATCTCCAGGGTGAGGTTGAGTATGCGGTAGGTGATGTCATTCTGGTCCTTCTCCATGTCCATCCAGCACTGATCTAGGAAGGTATTGTATATATTACACAGTGCTGATGGGTAAAATGATGATTGCCGGGGTGATGCCTTCCTCAATGACTTCTCTGCCTGGCTACCCTACTCTTTCTCTTCCGAAATTCCCGCAATTCTCAGAGACTTCAACATCCCTGGTAATACTAACACTCTGCTACTTCTAAACATCTCAGGCTGACCTTCTCATTCACCTGAAGCAATGGATACACAATGGCCACACAATGGTTACGCAATAGCTACACAATGGTTATACAATGGTCACACAATGGTTACACAATGGCTACACAATGGTTACACAATGGTTAAACAATGGCCACACAATAGATACAGGCTTCTACTCACTCTGATGGAGACACCCTTGACCTCATATTCTACCTATGCACTCCATGCAACCTCTTCAACATTCCTTTTCCTCTCTCTGACCACCATCTTATTAGTTTCCCTCTCTCCCCATCTTCCACTTCCTCTCCCTCTAGCCGCCTGACGGTTACCCGTAGAAACCTTTATTACCTCGCTTTTTCCTCGGGCCTACAACTCAGTCTCCTCCTCTCTTCTTCTCCTTCCATCAGGGTCCTCCAAGGCTTTATCCTCGGACCTACAACTCAGTCTCCTCTTCTCTTCTTCTCCTTCCATCAGGGTCCTCCAAGGCTTTATCCTCGGACCTACAACTCAGTCTCCTCCCTCTCTCCTCCTTCCATCGGGGTCTTCCAAGGCTTTATCCTCGGACCTACAACTCAGTCTCCTCCTCTCTCCTCCTTCCATCGGGGTCCTCCAAGGCTTTACCCCCAGACCTACAACTCAGTCTCCTCCTCCCATTGGGGTCCTCCAAGGCTTTATCCTCGGACCTACAACTCAGTCTCCTCCTCTCTTCTCCTCCTTCCATCGGGGTCCTCCAAGGCTTTATCCTCGGACCTACAACTCAGTCTCCTCCTCCTTCCATCGGGGTCCTCCAAGGCTTTACCCCCAGACCTACAACTCAGTCTCCTCCTCCCATTGGGGTCCTCCAAGGCTTTATCCTCAGACCTACAACTCAGTCTCCTCTTTCCATCGGGGTCCTCCAAGGCTTTATCCTCGGACCTACAATTCAGTCTCCTCCTCTCTTCTCCTCTTTCCATCGGGGTCCTCCAAGGCTTTTTCCTCGGACCTACAACTCAGTCTCCTCCTCTCTTCTCCTCCTTCCATCGGGGTCCTCCAAGGCTTTAACCTTGGACCTACAACTCAGTCTCCTCCTTCCATCGGGGTCCTCCAAGGCTTTATCCTCGGACCTACAACTCAGTCTCCTCCTCTCTTCTCCTTTTATCGGGGTCCTCCAAGGCTTTATCCTTGGACCTACACCTCAGTCTCCTCCTTTCTTCTCCTTCCATTGGGGTCCTCCAAGGCTTTACCCTCTGACCTACAACTTAGTGTCCTTCTCTCTTCTCCTTTTATCGGGGTCCTCCAAGGCTTTATCCTTAGACCTACAACTCAGTGTCCTCCTCTCTTCTCCTTTTATCAGGGTCCTCCAAGGCTTTATCCTCGGACCTACACCTCAGTCTCCTCCTCTCTTCTCCTTCCATCAGGGTCCTCCAAGGCTTTATCCTCGGACCTACAACTCAGTCTCCTCCTCTCTTCTCCTACTTCCATCAGGGTCCTCCAAGGCTCTATCCTCGGAACTACAATTCGGTCTCCTCCTCTCTTCTCCTCCTTTCCATCAGGGTCCTCCAAGGCTTTATCCTCGGACCTACAACTCAGTCTCCTCCTCTCTTCTCCTCCTTCCATTGGGGTCCTCCAAGGCTTTATCCTCGGACCTACAACTTAGTCTCCTCCTTCCATCGGGGTCCTCCAAGGCTTTATCCTCGGACCTACAACTTAGTCTCCTCCTTCCATCGGGGTCATCCAAGCCTTTATCCTCGGACCTACAACTCAGTCTCCTTAGAACTTCAACTCCGTGTCCTCCTCTCTTCTCCTTCCATCGGGGACCTCCAACGCTCTGTCCTCAGATCCCTTCTATTCTCCATCTACACCTCCTCCCCCAGGGTCAGTTCCCACCGCCCTCTCTGCTCCTTACTTCCTTTTCACATGCTCATCCCCAGGACTTCTCCCATCCTCTGGAACTCCCTACCCCCAAACCATCTATATCCTACTCTGTCCCCTCTTTTAGGTGATCCCGGAACCTCATCTGTATAGTGAAGTCTATCCTGCCTCCACCCAACAAAATGAACCTCAAAGTTCTCCATCCCCTCCCCCACCACTGTTATCACCTTTTGTATCACTTGTCCCTCTCCTCTAGATTGAAAGCTCTTGGGACCAGGGCCCTCTTTTCTGGTAATGTCTCCTTTGTATTGCACCGCTCTGGCTCCATATAAATCCTGAATAATGATGATAATTAGCACTTTGTCTCTATTATTGTTATTGATATCTGCAGCGGCGGGACGATGTAGACCAATGGGGGCCAGGCTGATCTCTTCCCTCCTCCTCCACATTACAATCCTCATAGTATAGAAATATCTCCCCATTATAAAGCCTCAGGCTCCCCACCTGCCCAGCAGCCAATCAGGTGCTGGCTCTCCACTCCAGCTGCTCTCTGATTGGCTAGCCTGCTGCTATGGGAAAAAAACTGGGCCCCTGGATGCGTGATTGGGGGCCCCCCATGACGTCCTGTATTGAAGACCCCCCTCCAGATCACCCCCAGCAACACTGACCTGCAGCCCACAGCCACTGACAGTGGGGGTCACTCTACTTCCGGGTCATGGCAAGCTCTGCTCATTTGCGTTCCACGGAGCTTCCGCCTCGTGCGGCTCACATGCGTTTCAGATCGTTCGGTCACCTCCACCGCATGTGTTTCACAGTACTTCCGCCTTGTGCGTTTCACGCCTCTTTCCGGCAGCGAGGCCTTCTAGAGGACACAGCGCCATCTGGCGGCTCCACGACACAGCGCCTCCCATATTTTATCTTCTTATTTATACAAATGTATTCTGTGTTTTATTATATTTATAGGATTTATTTATTGACACGATTCCTGTCCATATACTCATTATATATATAGTCCGTATACTCATCATATATATATATATTTTCCGTACACTCATCATTTATACTCATTATATATGTATAGTCCGTATACTCATCATATATATATTCATTATATATATAGTCAGTATACTCATCATAAATATATATATATATATATATATAGTCAGTATACTCATCATCATATATTATATATATATATAGTCAGTATACTCATCATATATATTCATTATATATACTTATATAAATAGTCAGTATACTCATCATATACAGTCATGGCCGAAATTGTTGGCACCCTTGATATTTCTCCAGGAAATCATGTATTTCTCACGAAACGTATTGCATTAACACATGTTTTGCTATACACATGTTTATTCCCTTTGTGTGTATTGGGACAAAACAAAAAAAGGGAGGAAAGAAAGCAAATTCGACATAATGTCACACAAACCTCCAAAAATGGGCTGGACAAAAGTATTGGCACCCTTTCACAACTGCGGATAAATAAGAATGTTACAAGCATGTGATGCTCCTGTAAACTCACCTGGGGCAAGTAACAGGTGTGGGCAATATAGAAATCACACCTGAAAGCAGATAAAAAGGAGAGACGTTCACTTAACCTTTGCATTGTGTGTCTGTCTGTGCCACACTAAGCATGGACAACAGAAAGAGGAGACGAGAACTGTCTGAGGACCTGAGAACCAAAATTGTGGCAAAATATCAACAATCTCAAGGTTACAAGTCCATCTCCAGAGAACTAGATTTGCCTTTGTCCACAGTGCGCAACATTATCAAGAAGTTTGCAACCCATGGCACTGTAGCTAATCTCCCTGGTCGTGGACGGATGAGGAAAATTGATGAAAGATTGCAACGCAGAATAGTCCGGATGGTGGATAAGCAGCCCCAAACATGTTCCAAAGACATTCAAGCTGTCCTGCAGGCTCAGGGAGCATCAGTGTCAGCGCGAACTATCCGTCGACATTTAAATGAAATGAAACGCTATGGCAGGAGACCCAGGAGGACCCCACTGCTGACACAGAGACATAAAAAAGCAAGACTACAGTTTGCCAAAATGTACTTGAGTAAGCCAAAAGCCTTCTGGGAAAACGTCTTGTGGACAGATGAGACCAAGATAGAGCTTTTCGGTAAAGCACATCATTCTACTGTTTACCGAAAACGGAATGAGGCCTACAAAGAACAAAACACAGTACCTACGGTAAAATATGGTGGAGGTTCAATGATGTTTTGGGGTTGTTTTGCTGCCTCTGGCACTGGGTGCCTTGACTGTGTGCAAGGCATCATGAAATCTGAGGATTACCAAAGGATTTTGGGTCGCACTGTAGGGCCCAGTGTCAGAAAGCTGGGTTTGCGTCCAAGATCCTGGGTTTCCAGCAGGACAATGACCCCAAACATACGTCAAAAAGCACTCAGAAATGGATGGCAAAGAAGCGCTGGAGAGTTCTGAAGTGGCCCAGCAATGAGCCCAGATCTAAATCCCATTGAACACCTGTGGAGAGATCTTAAAATTGCTGTTGGGAAAAGGTGTCCTTCCAATAAGAGAGACCTGGAGCTGTTTGCAAAGGAAGAGTGGTCCAAAATTCCGGGTGAGAGGTGTCAGAAGCTTATTGATGGTTATAGGAAGCGACTGATTTCAGTTATGTTTTCCAAAGGGTGTGCAACCAAATATTAAGTTAAGGGTGCCAATACTTTTGTCCAGCCCATTTTTGGGGTTTTGTGTGACATTATGTCATATTTGCTTTTCTGCCTCTGTTTTATATTTGTTCCAATACATACAAAGGGAATAAACATGTGTATAGCAAAACATGTGTTAATGCAATACCTTTTTTGTGTGTGAAATACTTGATTTTCAGGAAAAATATCAAGGGTGCCAACAATTTCGGCCATGACTGTATATATATATATATATATATATATAGATCATATATATAGTCCGTATACTCATTATATATTTATATTCCGTATACTCATC